GAGTTACAGATCGTATCGCCAACTTTAAAAGATGACAAATCTATTAAACTTACAAAACAATTGCATTATTATATAAAGCACAACTGTTTAGAACCTTTTGGGATTTTAAAACTTAGAGTTGTAGAGCAATATTACACCTAGAAATCAGCCCTGAATGTTGAAGTTCAACATGGTACAATAGGCCATTTCTCGACATTTTGAGCAGCAAAATACGTTTTGGGTCAGATGGATTTGCTTGTGTTTCAGGCTGTTTTCTTTTTAACAGAAATCACAGACAGGTCTTTTAACGTTCTAGCTTAATTATATTAGTGTATAAGTCATCCTCCAAAGAGTTTCTAAGCTTTATGTATTAAGACGCCATTGCTTGATTAAACTTTCATCAACACCACATGCATGACACACTAATATTGCCTGATTTCATACCGTGGGAGACTGGGTACAAGTCTCTTAATTTGCATGATTGCCGGATTTCAAGTCGAGTGGGGACTGGGCAAAATTCCCTAATTGGATAATCACGAGATAAGACTTACATAGAAAGAAAGCCCACGTTGAGAAATGCAAAATTCGAAAATCTGGCGTCATTTAGTTCAATGTGAACGAGTTACGGCCTTTCAAATATTCTAAAATTTCCAAAGAAATGTACAAGAAGCTGTGAATGTGTCCGCATTTTGACCATTTTCCGGACATATTTGCGAGATCACATACATTTCTTTGGAAATTTTAGAAAGTTTGAAATGCTGTAGCTCGTTCACTATTGAACTGATTTACATCAAATTTTGGAACTTTGCATTTCTCAACACAAGGGCTTTCTTTCTATGTAAGTCTTATGTCATGACTATCCAATTAGGGGATTTTGCCCAGTCCCCACTCGGCTTGAAATCCGGCAATGGTTTTCAAAGTACAGCAAAACTGTTGGGATAGATATGATGGCATGTGTTTTTGAAAGGCTGTAAATCGTTTAATATTAACCTGATTGACACCAAATTCGGACAGTTAGTATTTCTCAATACGTTCTTTTGTTCCATATAAGTCTTATCTAACCGTCGTGTGAATTAAGGGACTTGTACCAAGTCTCCCATGGTATGGAATCGGGCAATATCAAAACATTCTCAAAGTTCCAAATCCATGATGCACTTGTTTTAATTCACTAGTGTGTTTTTGTGTGCCTCTGACAAATTCCTTCATGCAATTTATAGGAACTCTGATAGGATGGATAATATGGGATCCCCAACACCTGATGGCACAGAAGGAATTGTCCATGTAGAAATACCTAAAACAGATACAGATGGAATTAGCACTGATTATTTGATTGGCTGTATCATACACTATAAACGTTTTGTAAATAAGGTTGATTCTTCTTTGTATGGAGGGTATGACTATATGTTGATTTTGCCAGTTAACAACAACAACAACAAGAAATATGAAGACATTATTGATATTGAAGCAACATTTTATAATTTTAAAGAGCGAAAACCACAGTCTTTGAAGTTGGAGCTTGAGGTTGGATTTGTGGAGGCCAAGCAATTAAGTCACCAATTCCTGCCTTGTTGCATGGAGGACAAAAAGAAACGTGATAAACGTACATTGAAAGGTCCAAAGTCTGAATCTGAGGAGGCCCAAAGCTATGTTTCAAAGTACAGCAAAACTGTTGGGATAGATATTTTAACATCAAGAGAATTTTGCAAGCAGGGAAATGAATTGTTTGGCATACGTAAATCTGACAAAACAAGTAGGGCTAAATTTGTGTCATTAAAATTTAGCAAAGATGAACCTGGTGTCCTTGAAAAATGTTTTGATATTGACGTTTTGCATCCTTGTGGCATATTGCTTCATGGGATTGAGGGTCCTGTGAAGGGAAAATATGACGTTAAAGTCATTGGGAGCTATTCACTTGTGGATGGGAAGATCACGTACAAGCTCATATTGGATGAAGGTACCTCATGGATAATGCGGATATAATTATATATTGCTTAACAAATTCCAACATAGGCTAAAGCATATTTTCGCAAAAATGCAAGATAAAATATCAAGTTAAACTCATATGTAAATCAGGACAAATCTCTTGCTCATATAAAGATGCAGTCACGGCAATGATTTTCCATTGTGTTTACCTTATGAATTATTAATGAATTTGATAAGAATATATAACCATTACTTACTAACTTATATTGTTCTTGCACAACATTTTTTTTTCATGTTGTTTTGTTTCAACCACAACAATAAGCAATAAGACAAGTGCATGTAAAATAACTCAAATAATCAACTATAGTAACCATTGGTAATAAGATATCCTGATATCCAGGATGACACAGGGATCCCATTTCCAAAATTTGATTAATGATTTTAATCCTATGATCAAAATCTTTCCATGATTGCAATCTCTGTGATGCAGGTGCAGTTTGTATATCACAATTATTAACAGTATAATTAGTTTAAGGTTCAATGTGGATTAAAGTTTAACAGATGAAAAGTCTAATTTAGATGAAATTGATCCTTGTAAAGGGGAAAATTCACAAAGTCTCCCTATGGCAGATTTATTTATAACTTTTTGAAATTCTTTTTCAATCAAACAAATGGAAGTGATGCAGACTACTCAAAGTGCCAGCAATGGACAAAAAGCTGAAGCAATGAACAGTGACTCTGTTTCCTGTGGAAGTGTGCAGCCATCAGACTCTCAGCCTGAAGGTATTAAATGTAGATGATCCTTTGGAAATAACAAATATAAAATTCACTGTAAATAACCATTCTCAGACCAAGATCCTTCTCAGTTTCCCAAAAGAAAGTCGAAGATTCTGGTTGTTGACTAATCAGTCTTTGATTTGATGATTCAAAGATTAAAAAAATGGATTGAAAAGACTGGAGATTAAGTTGATCATGGCGAAGAGGAAAACACCTCAAAACATACTGTTGGAACATGAATTATTTTGTAGTGAAATGTTTTGATGATTTAATTTCTTTCTCTTTTTTTTTGGGGGGGGGGGGGGGAGGGGGAGATGGTTCAGATTTGGACAGGAATGATGCGCTTCTAGTCCCTGATTCAATCTATTCAAGACAGCAAAATCATTAAATTCCATACACTATTCCAGACAAATGGGTATGAAAAAATGTGTACTATTTAACATCAATGATCAATCAAGTCTCATTTCCAACAGATAATCAAGCAAATGCAAATAAAACAAATAAATTAGGAGCAGTTGCTACCAACGAACTAAATAATACAGAAGGTGGTCGCTCTGGGAGTTCTGAACTATTTGAGATTGATGAGTGTGAGCCTTGTGCCTTGGAAAGTAAGTTATTGATTCAATTAAATGGCCAAAAATCAAATCAGATTTTATTAACTTAAACGTGCAAATTGTGCATAATACAAGGCCATAAAGGCTTTACGTTCTACAGCAGCAGAATGAATTTTAACTTAAAGCAGAAATTGAAATTTAACTTAAGAAAAAAATTCTTTAGAATATGAAAGCGATGAGAAGCATTCTACAGTTAAAGATGAAATTGGTGAAAAGACTACTAAACATGTACTAAAAGGTATTTTTCAAATAGAAGTATTGCTTCAAAATTGTTCATGTTATAAAAGAAGGGGTTGTGTTTAAAATTCTTATTTGACTGAAGAAAAGGGACAATGTGTGGAGCTATATTACAATCATATTTTGCTCATTATAATTTTAAAAATGCATTACCCATTCTCGTACCCAGACCCTACTAATATAATCATAAAAATGGTCTGAAATTCCTGTTGCTATCATAATGTATGTACAAGAACCATATAAGTCATACTAGTGCCAGAAATTAAATTTAAAGAAAAACTGAATTCTTTAGATGATGAAAGTGATAAGATTTCAGTTGAAGATGACATTTTTGAAGAGAGTGATGTATACTTAGAACAAGCCACTACAGGTATAGTTTCATATTGAAGAAAGAAATCAGGAGAAATAAGTACTAAATAAGATTATTTAGACTGAAAATAAGTGCTTGAAGTGATTTTCTTTAAATTTATCGAAAAAATCAAAAATACCCTAAAAAGTCACTTTGGCCGTTTCCTCAGCCGGCCCTTCAATTTATAACAACTTAATAAATAAAAATGTTGATTCCTATTTCCAACAGATGAAAATACTGCAATCGATTCAGGTGCTACCAATGGACAAAATATTTCAGTATTCAGTAAAGATCACGGAGATAAAGAAAAGATTGTAGGAAAGGATCTTACAAAATCTCATGAAGGTAGATAGATGTTAACATTTTAATTAAACGAATATATTTTCTCTGTTCATCTTTCATTTCAAATAAATTATTTGATTATTTATTCATCAAATGCTCTCTCATCAAGAAGATTTTTTTTAGATGGATGGTAGAAATCATATTAATAGGGACTGATCAGTTGAAATAACTTGAAGGAGTAAAGTAATTGATCTTTTAATTTCTGTTTCCATTATCAACTAGCCTGCACGAGTTCAAGATCAGTTGAAACAGAAGTACTCCAGCTTGAAGAGCTTAAAAAGATTTTGGAAGTATTGAAAATTCCACTGGAAAGGTTGCGAGAAGGGAAATCTGTGATAAAAAATCCAGAAGAAATGCTGAAAGAGGTTAATCGTGCTCAAGAATTGATAACCACTGTAAAATACACGAAAAAAGATTTAACTAGTCTTGATGCAGAGATGAATCAACTGAAAGAACTGGAAGAACGCTTGCAAGAGGATATTAGAATCTTTCACTCTAATGCAGAGGTTGAAGATCAGTTTGGCACGGAGCACATAAATGCACTCCATAATACTTTGGCAAAAAGAAATGAGTGTCTGGATTTAATAGAAGAAAAGCATTTTTCTAGTCATGATCAGCAGGAATATGTGATCCAAAAGATCAATTCTATATGCCTTTGTGCAATTTCAAAGATTGAAGATAGTATATATCAGTTAAAGCAGAACGTCTCAAAGACCAGGAAATAGGTTACTTCACTCGTTATCGTTATTGTTCTCACAGTTGATCTTGGGAATACATCAGAAGCATTACATTTGCTTTTTGTGGTCGCCCACTATAAACGAAAATTGCGGCAACAATAAAAATAGGTGAGAGTACGCCTAATAATTAAAATAATGTTTTCATCGAGGAATGCAACATTAGGAATTAATTGAAAAGATATAGAAAGATCACTCGAAAAGTTGATTAGTTTAAAGAGTATAAATATAATGTAAATTCGATTTACTGACAAAATTTACAAAGTTTGTAATGAATTTTGCGTACATTCTGTAAATGTCTTGTAAATTTTGCTCCACCAAATATTGTAAATGTGGTCTTGTAAAATCAATTTTTAGTCGAGCAACGCCTCTTTCACGGCCAGTGACCACACTAAATAAATCATAGTTTGTACTAATTCAGTAAAATTTAGTAAAAGTTATTTTTAGACTTGAGTTTTACCTTTTTGCCCATCTATTTATCTATCTATCTATCTATCTATCTATCTATCTATCTATCTATCTATCTATCTATCTATCTATCTATCTATCTATCTATCTATCTATCTATCTATCT